CTAAGAATATTAAGGAGGACAAATAAAAAATTTAATAATTAATTTTGTCATACATACGTTATTCCTTATAAATGAAAATGTAAGTTCATATTAAATGAAACATCATGTCATGAAGTGAATAGAAAACTTTAACACTATCATATCAAGATGCATTTCTTTTTCTAGATCTGGCAAGCAAGATATACTTTTCTTTAAGTACTTAAACTGTAAAACTAGTTTACTAGAATCAAATATCAAATCGAAATTATTCGTTGTAAATAGTACATATTTTGAAAAATTTCAGTGATTGATTTTTACTTTTGTGTGCGTAATTTAAATTTTTTTTCCTTTTCAACAGTTAATTCACCAGTAAAATTACGAAATTATTTAAATGTAATAAAATAACATATTATCACTGAAGAATTTCGAAATTTTCTAAAATTTTTGTTTTTAGAGGATAAAGCGAAAAAATAACAATTGTATACGGCAAGAAATCAAAGAACTACCCCTACATCTTGCTCCTTGGCTCTTTTTTTAAATTTTTCTTACTTGTTTGGTATGTTGATGCAGAGGGCTATTTCCTTAAAAAACAAATCCCTTCTCAAACCTCACGTTTCACAGAAAATAGGGTTAATCATTTTGCATAATACCCATATGAGGTAAAATAAATATGTAGTATAGAACTACGTAAAAATTTGTTTTCAGAAGTCTTGTTTATGGATAACATATTCCTTAAAATACGAAAGTTAGATTAAAAATCATTTAATGAAGAAAAAAGTTATAAAAAATAAAATAAAAATAAATTAAATTGTAAGAAAATAAGTATTTCACTTACTTATATTAAAGTAAATCTTCAAATTTAATGAATTTCAAAATTTAATTAAATAATAAATTTGATATTTAGATTACACATTTCAATAATAATTTCGAAAACATCCAATTGAACTAATTGTAGATACCCTGCACTGAGGAAAATTGTCAGGTCAAAACTACCAGGATATGGATAAGTTTATCCTCCGTAATTTATATCGAAAGTTACTTTAATAATAATTTAGGTTAAATTAACCATAAAATATAGTGTTACATTATGTGATAAAATTTAGCAAATGTGGCAAAATTCGGTACTTTTATCGTGATTTCTTAGGTAATGGCATTAAATATATTTATTCGGTTAAATTTATTTTCCAGTTTTGTATTTTTTACAAAGTGTGTGGTAATAAGTATTATGAATTTGAAAACCAGAATTTCCGGTAAACCGTTACCATATGAATGGAAAAACTACCATATGAATGGCTTATAAATATTATATATTTTTGCTTTATTTCCAAATTGAAGTTGTTTTTTTTTTAATAATTACATACGGTACTGTAATTGTATCAGAATTTTTTCTCTGAGTAATTTTTCTCCTAAGAGTATCTTTTTTAGTGTTTACAAAGAAATAATTTTTAAAAACAAATTATTTTAACTTTTATTTCAAATATTTGCATAGTTTCACAATGTTTTTTAAACATTAACATTTATGATGCTTAAGTTTTACTTTGCTTAAATAAATTTAATAAAGGGAAATAAATGTTAAAACACAACTTTTTTAATAAATTTTTAACTAGCAACTAAATTGTAACTCTTAAGAGGGAAATAATATTGAAATAATTTGAACAATTCCTTTCAAATTTCTTTCTTCATTTATTTCTTTGAATTGCATTAAACACTCGACTCAGAAAAAAGCTGACGTTTAAATTTATTTCTGATTTCAAAAATTTGGGTTGTGACCTCATTTAGAAAAAAAAAACATTTCTTCAATCGAGTTTCAGAAACTGTATGTCAGTAAATAAAAAATGCAGCATTTAGAATTATTAGATGCAGCCTGCATACAAGATATTTTTTTTATTTAAAGAAATATAAACAAACAAAGACATTATTTGGAATTTAGCAAATTTTTAAGTGTTATGATTGTAGACACTGCATTAAAAAATAACTCAATTTTGTCTATTATTAAAAGAAATGAAAAAACCATTATGCACTATTTAAAAGACTTTCAAAAAGAATCCTTTTTCGTTTCACATTAGAACAATTAATTTTCCTTTTATAATCACATGTAAAGAGATAAAATGTGAAAGTTTTTCTGTTTTACTGAACTATGAATTCCCACAAAAGTCTCGAATCAAGCTTTGTTCACTTAACTTCCCTCGCATATTTGCATATCCTCATTCGGTTGTCATTTTGATTAGTGGTCCAACAGTCTGATTTGAATAAAAAGTGTAAAAAGGAAACCTTTCCCTAAACGTTTTCAGGGGTTTCATTTAAAACTTCATGGTACTAATGTATTTAGGGAAACGTATTTCTTCCTCTCCCGTAGATTCAGCATTACCTTTTGCCTTCAAATTACCAAGTTGTTTTAAGCATCCTTTCTACTGATGGATTGATAAAAGCATTTGGAGTTGCTAACAGACTCTTACACGCCAGGATATACACTTGTTTCATTTTCAGATGGAGCACAAAGAACTAAAAACGTAAAGTATGCATAATTTCGAAGAATTTATCATCTCAGACTGTGTGAAAATACAAAGTATGCCATTTATTACTCGCATCTTAGAGTTTTGCATTTCTACTTCAGATTTGAAGTTACGAAAAGTAGAATCATTTTCTGAATTAGCAAGAAGTTTGAAAATGATTCATTACTTCATCATATGAACATCTTGAACAACTGTAAACCATATCATTTTATTACATATAAACAAAGCATTGTTTGATATTTAATTTTTAAAAGAATTTCACGCATTTTTAAGTGGTTGAGAAATATCTTTGCAATCCAAATTAGTTTGAAAATTAATTATTCATTGATGAAGAGTAATTTTTTATGGTTCCGTGTTCAAATAAAGTTATATATTAAAATTAGTACGCATAATATTTTGTTACATGCTACTTCAAATTGGGAAGTTTTAATTGCGCTGTCGATTTTGCATAGGCATCTGACAAAACCACCAACTGATCCCTATTGGAAAAATCTCCCGGTATGAAAAAAATTACACCGGCTTATGAAGCACCGGTTCCGGTATGATACTGGATCCGGTATTATACCAGTACTGTTGTGTTATTAACCGGTATCATACTAGAGCCAGGATATACTGGTACTTGAGTACTGCACCCATTATACTTGGATGGGGTTTTAAAAACGCGTTTTTTTAACACATGATTTGTGAGGTACTACAGTTTGATAAAGGAGCGTTAGTGAACTGCTCTGAATGGGCACTTTATCAAAAGCCTGCACTTTATCAAAAGCTATAGTTTGCATTATGTTTATAAAAATGAAATAAACTTCCTTTTTTTAAAAATTTCTTTATTGTTAATTAAATTTTTTAGCAATAAACTAACATATTAGAAATAATTGTCAATAATATTTGAATCTGCAATACCACACCAAAATTTTTTTTGCAGAAACATTAGAAAAGTGTGAATGCATTCTTCAGACTTGATGAAAATGGAATGGGGATTAGAAATATTATATTATGGATAGCCGAAACCCTGATTAAAATAAACAAGTCAAAATCTTAATTTCTAATTTTTTTTTCATATCTATCGAAATGATAAAATAAATTTTGTTTAGTAAGCCTCGGTAGAGTTTGACAAATTCACAAGCACAATAAGGAGACCATATGAAGTGAATACATCTATAGATATAAATTTAAACAATCTAATTATAAATTGATTTAAATCAATTAACTTTGGTTTGTATTTAAATAATTGATCAAATGCAATGCAAATAACACAAATACCAAATAAGTTTTGAAATGCCCGAAAAATAATATTTGAAATCAATGGAAATTATTGATGCGGCCAAAGCTGTTTTAGATATTTTTGGTCAAATTTAATTTTCTTTGCACTACGGACAAGACAACAACAACAACAACAACTGACTAAGGGAAAACACTAGATAGTTATTTCAAAAAATAAATAAATAAATAATGAAAATATAATTATAAAGTTATGTTACATCTTTGCCAATGTACTTGCTGGCTACTATTAATTTAAATACAAACCATTTTAAATCTAGATATATTTAATATTTCAATTAAAGTTAATTTAATCATTAAAACATAATAGTGATTAGAGTAGTAGTAATAGCTACAAATGAAGATTTAAATGACTCAAGTTATTAACTAATAAAAATAAAAGTTTTGAATTACTCCCCTCTGTCATTCTATTTACATTTTTCTTAAGATTCTGTTACTTAAAGCCTGGGTTGGAAAAAACCCGGGTTTTTCCTGAAAACCCCAACTGGGGTGGGTTTTTCATGTTCTATTGGTTTTTTTCTTCAAATAGAGGGCTGGAATAAGTACCTTATTTAAAAAAAAAGCTTATATTAATATTAATAATTAAGTTTAATTTTATGAATTGATTTTACATATAGATAATTAATAACTAATATAAATAAAGTGGTGCAGAAGTCTGAAAAAAGTTTCTTCTGACATCACGATACAAAATGTTATATGTACTCACATACATCACACATTTGAAACTTATTTTAGCACTGGATTAATTTTCATTGGTATTTTAATAATTGGTATTTAATTGGTATTTTCTATCTTTTACTCGCAGCGGTAAAAATTATAAAATAATACTGAATAATATCAATGATAGTATTATATAAGCAGAGAGAATAGGAAAAAAAACAGTAGTTGCATGACTGAAAAAAATATAGATAAGATGGTTCTTGTTTCAACCCAAACGGTAAAAATTATTAAAATATACTGAATATTATCTATGAAATTCTGTTACAAGTACAGAAAATGGAAAAAGTTATTTTATGTCTCAATCATTTTATAAAATGATTCCTTTTATCCGAAATGATAAATATTATAAAATTATACAGAATATTATCTACTAAAGTATTATATAAGTATACATAAAATAAGAAAAATAAAAACAGAAATAATTGATTTTACACAATATGTTATATAAGAATAAAGACATTTTTTTACGAATAGTTGGACAACTTAAGCTAAACCGGATTCACTTGGGAATAAAGATGACAAAATCCAAATTCAGCAGAAAAGGGTATTTTCAATTTATCAAAAAAGCATCTACGGCCAATATTTCGCCAAGATTTGGCGGGAAAATCTGCCCTGCAACCCTTTTCACTCTTCACCCGTTATTTTAGTCACATCGTGTTTGAGTAGAGAAATAGATGGTCCCAAAGATTTCAAAGTTATGAGCTCTAAGAACGCATTAAAGGGTTGAAAAGAATAAAAAATTTTGTTTTCGTGTCTTTTGAAAATTTAATTTCCTTTGCTTTTAAAATAATGACATGCTTATGAGGACCATGGAATATATTTCAAACAAGATTTTCGGAAGAAAAAACTAAAAAATATTTAAACTCATGTTTGATTAAAAGATTAAGTGGGATATTTTTTACGTGTTAATATGATTCTGGCACTTGATTTTTTGACATTTTATATAGTTTCCGGAATTTTTGAAGTTGTTACTGAAGAAGAACCACTTTCTACTGAATTGGGTAAGCAAAAGTATAGCAATAGTTTGCTTGATTTTATTATGCTACATCACAATTCCTTAATTTTTTTTTTAATTTTAAAATTTTTTACGAATACAAACTAATGAAATTATGTTAAAAAAAAATTATGAACTTCCAAAATCAACTGAAATTTCAACAGCATTATTTCAAACGATTTGTAAATAATTTGCTAACTTCCAAAATGCATGCACTCAAAAGAATATTATGTAAAATGTAGGCAAATGCAACAGGATTATTTCATGTTTTCTCCTTTTAATTATATTTATTTTATATGGAAAACTGTAAATTTATTATTATAATATTTATTTAAATTTTTACGAATGAATGAACATTATTTTTCGTTTATTATTTAGTTAAATTACTCACTGCATTTTTTTACGTTCTTAGAGATGTTGGAAAAAATTGTGCACTTTCTTTTTCCATCAATTGTTGAAAATTTTTCTTTTTTCCATCAGTGTAAAATCAGTTGTTGACTGCACAGTTTAAATGAAATTTGTACAGCAAAAAAAATCTTATACTATGCAATTGTACAGTGTATTTTTTTGATCTTTTTTGAATTTTTTATTTGTAAAAATTAAGTAATATTTTGCAATATTTAAAAAATATATTTCGATTTTCTTTTCAAATTTAATGAGTTTGTGGATAATAATTATGAATTTAAGAAATTTAGACAAAAGTTTCAAAATATATGTATACATAATGTACTGCATAAAAAATAAGATGTTTGATTGCTTTAAGCAAAAAAATTCGTCATAAAAATGCAAAATTGCTTAAAATTGATTTGCATGCTATAGTGCGGAGATAAGAGTTCTGCCACAATATAACATATCTGAGAAAAGACATTAAAAAAAGGAAAATTAAGAAAGAAAGAAAAATATGTCTTATTTACTGCGCTACGTTGCAAGTACAGCGAAACTGTAATATAAGTTAAAAAAAACAAAGAAAACATGAACAAAATATTTTTATAGAAAAGAAGAAAAATTATTATGAAATTAATTATTTTTATAAAAAAATTAAACATTTATTAATTAACATTATAAATTAAAACGCTTGAAAACAAAATAAAGAAAAGAAAAAACCTTGTTGTCAGCTTTCCCAATGTCCGAAAATGCAGGAAAAGAATTTGTAGTAATATTTATTTTTCCAAAAAGTAAATATAGCTACTAACTCTTCCGAAATTCGATAATAACAATGGATATAAAAATAATTCTGTATAAAATCACTGAGTTATTTTATGTTATAATTGATAAAGAATTTATTGTATATTTTCTTATGTATTATTGTATTTCTTATCAATATATTGTATAGTTTCTCCAAATTTATCTTTTTATTATGTGCAAATCCAATTCGGGGAAATCCTTGTCGAAGAAGCTTCGAATATTTAATAAATTTGCTTTCAATAAAAGCTCATAATTTCTCTATTCACCAAACTAAATTGTCAATTACCTTGCGCAAATTCTGTCTCAGGCCATTTAAAGGAAACTTACAAATTAAATGGGGCTCTGTATTTTAGAAAAAATGCGCCCTAAAACACGTCAATTTTTCATATATTTATGCCTTTATTTTCATATTTTGTAATCTGGCAAACTCGTAACGAAAATTTTTTAAACGGGTAAGCGTAAAGACATTTGAATTCGCTAATCGCTTTATAAATTGCATTTTGTATTTTCTTGAATTTATATTTTCTATTTTTGCTTGATATGGTTTATTTTTTATTTTTAGCTTAATATGTTTTATTTTAGTTTCATTTTTTAGTGCTTCTTACGCTGTTGTATTGATATAGTTTGCTTTGGCTATATTAATGCAATATTAAACTTTTTGGCGGATATAATCGTGTGAGCTGACAACGAGATTATATCCATTCCTTATTTTATTTTCCAGCTCTTTATCCTTTTTTTAAATTTTAAAAATCTTCTGAAAAATAGTTTATTTGGTAGTAATTTTTCTTTCTTCTCTGTAAAAATACATTTTTTCGCAGTTTTCGTTATTTCATTAATATATATATACATTACAGAATATGAAATTGTCAAATATTTTTAAAATACTGCCAAATCATAATTGTACATAAAATATACAATTGTACATTAACAACATAACATAATTGTACATTAACAACAATTAAAATTTAATGTGTTTTATATCGAAAATCTAAAAACGATCTCATTTGTATTTATATGACATTAATTCACTAGTTATTAAATTGAAGTTTGCGATTAAAACTTTAGTTATCACATTTAACTAAAATATTCACGTGCTGAAATTGTTAAAGAAACTTTAATGATATAGATGAAGACCTATTTTCGGCAAATATTTTCTGCTACATTTATATCTCTGATAAAAAAATGACACTGTAATATTTGTCAAGATTTTTACAATAAACTAATAATGCTATACTTTTTCGCGAACGCAATCGAATAAATTGAATTTTAGTTTTCTAATTTTTTCAGACTTAATTATTTCTGATTTTTTAAAAAAATCTTTCTATTTTAATCCGTAGAATGGAACAGTTCGCAAAGTGAAATAGAATAGGAGACGTATCCGAATATTCTGCAATTTATATAAAACATAACATTAATTTAATTAGCATTCTATGATTTAAATATAGGAATATAGTATTTTGTAGAAAGAAAAAGCTTTTTCGACGTTTCAGAGATAGATTTGACAGGACGCTTTAAAAATGAAAATAAAAGGTTTCGATACATGATAAATGATTATTTTTAACGAAGTGAATTTATTAGAAATATTTCTTTAATTGTGTAATTGTCTGAAACACGCTAAATAATAAGCTGAATTATTTCTTTAATACAGCATTGGACAATAAACTTACAATATGTAATGTCACAAGAATTCTGTAGTAAAATGCTTAGAGATAAGTCAAAATTAGGTAAAGGAAATAAAAAGTATCAAATATTATATGTCTTAAGAGTTTTAGATATGTAGTTTTGAAACTGAAGAAAAATATGAATTTTGAGTTTACACTGAGTGTATCAATGGAAGATTTTTAAAGTACCACTTGAAGATTTATAAAATAAAAAATTCGAAACCTAATCTCTCTTTCTACTCGAGTTGACTACCTAATTTTCATCACAATTTGTAGTATAATTAATTGTATAATTTCTGCAGTGTATTTTTGTTTCTGAGTGTCCCAGAAACATTAAATTAAAAAAATCCATAAGAATATATTTAAAGAATGACAGTACGCTTAAATTGAAAAAAAAATTAAGCAAATAATAAGAAAACATGAAATATTATTAAATGACAAAAAAATCACTAAGTAATGGGAAACGATGAAAAACCATATAATAACGGGAAGAAAAAGAATTTTAATTAATGATCATCAACAAAAAATCATTGTTGATTTCTAAAATAATTTAATAACTATTTTCGTATGGTAACTTACATGAAGTGGAAAGTGCTGAAAATTTAATATTGAAATATTTTTCAGAGAAAAAAAAACAGCATTGTACAAAAGGGATTTGGGCTTATGTGAAATCCGTCATGGGAATATAAAATTCTTTTGGTGTGTGAAGAATAATGATAGAGAATTTATAAGAGATCAGACAAGTCTAGAATATTATTTTCTTATAATTTATAGTTAACGTCTGTTAGTATAGGATGAAATGCAAACACTTGAAATTTTTAAAGATGAATGATGTTTTGTGTATAAAATACCGAGAATATTAAAAATAATACGAGAAATTTGTAGTGAGGTTTAAATTCTTACCATTTTTGACTGTTCAAAATCCTTTTTCAACACGTAATAAAACAGATGTACATTATCAAATGTTGGCTACAAGTCAGTGTAAAAATGTCAGTCTAAGTCGGAAATCATTGCTAAATAAATTTGAATATTTTTTTTGTGCTTTTTTTTTTGGATTTATAACACCGACAATTTATTTTTCTTTTCGTTTTTGCATATTTATAGCTTTTCATTCATAGTACATCATATGATTTTGATTTGGCATTTTTTTTTACATTCTGTATAATTTTTCAATGTTGGAAAGTCCATAAGGGCTGCTTGTAATTCAGAATTTTATTGTCAATTAATATAAATCTCGTTATAGTCTTCAGCAGCATATTTCATAAAAGAAGAAGAAAACTAAATATATTGCTATCATGTATGTTCGGTACTTTAAAGAAATATGTATTTTCACATAAAATTAATGCCCTTTACAAAAAATAATTGTAATTTATCTTTATTTGCAATTATTTCTAAGAGTTGTGCTAGAACTTTTTTACAATATGACCTACTACTAATTTATTTTATAGTATATGGTTTAAAATATATAATTTATCCAGTGTGTTTGAAATGGCAGTATATGACTTAGACGAGTGTCATATGCTATTGATTCAAAATGTCAAAAATTTAAAGGTCATGAAATATGAGTAAATTTTGTTTGACTAGATTATAAGCATAGGCATATTATTTTCTGAGAGCAATAGTAAATTTAAATTTTTTTCTAAATTGAGAATTTACTATCTGTAAAAAATATTGAACAAATTCATGCTAAAAAGGCAACTTTTACTGGCGTAAATACAATATTTCCCTTAATACTTAACTGCAAAAATAAGAATAAATTGTAAATAAAGGATTACCCACTCAACACCAGGTTTCAAATCCCGAAAACCTGTTTCAGAGGCTAACGCACTAACTCCTGTACCATCTCACCATACTCTGTAGGAAGTATAGATAATTTTCAAATCAAATGAAATATGTTAGAAAAGTGGTAATAAAATTTTAGCAGATGAAAAGAAATTCATCATAGGCTTAAAATTAGTAATGATCTAGATCAATTTCTCAGTTTCAGTATATTTTACTGAATAAAATTGAAAAATTCTGTAGAAGCAATGTTTTTTAATATGTACGGTGCGCAAAAAATATACATGGATAAATATGCTGAGTACTTAGAATAACGTTTGATCTAATGGTTGCATTTTCAGCACATGGGGCTCAATCTTAATTATTTAAATTAATAATTAAT